AACAACAACCACCGCAGCTTGTCTCTGTAAACATACCCAACAGCCCTCTGCCCTTGGAAAGGACGCTGCAAGGTTGGCTCCACTTGGTTTTGAGAATTCTTTGGCTTTTTCTTGTATTTAATAAATGCTTACATTTGGTGGAAGTGTCCATGAAACAGCTTTGTTCTTGGCCTGGCCTTGGGAGCCAGGGGGGTGAGCAGAGGAGGGGATGAAATAAGCCAGGGGGGCTCACTGGAAGGGGAGACGGGGCAATTAACTGGAGGCCCTGCAGCGGCCCACACCGTAGGCTTAAACAACCAAACAGATTATTTTGGTGGCATGTTGCCTGAGCCTAGTTAATGAATGGCCTGGAGATAAAGAGGTTTGACTAATAGATACAAACTTTATTGTAAGAAATTCAAAAGTCTACACACACACCCACACCCACACACACCCCTCCCCTCCGGCTCCTCGCACTCAGAACGCCAGTTTCAGCTTTTAAGGCCGTGCGTCTGAACCGCAAGAGGAGCCCCCCCCCCCCAGGGGGAGATTTCCCTCTTTTCACGTTGACTGAAAAACTGGACTGGGAGGAAGAAGAAAGAGGCGGCCGAGGGCAGGGAGGAAAAACTCCTAGCAGCAAAGGTACCGAGTTCAAACTCAGCGACTACTAGCCTTTTTATTCCTTAGGCATTTGGGAAGGGGTGGGTGAGTAGGGGTTGCTCTACACTTGAAAAAGAGGAAGGGTCTGCCCAAGAACAAAGTTTTGAGCCCCCCCCTCAAGAGGGCCCTGAAGTGACTCGGGCCTCAAGCAGAAAGCAGTGGGGCCGAGGCCCACCCGAACAGCATCAAAACATTGCACAACTGACAAAGCAACCACAGGGTCCTCCTGCTGCCACCGCCGCCGCCACGTCTGTGACCTGAAGGGTGGACTGCCAGCCCTGCAGCTCCTGTGGGAATCGCGTCACGAAACCGAGTCCTTGTGCCAGAAGGGAGGCAAGAGAAGGTGGCCCCGAACACTTCCCCCTCATTCGCTCTCGGGATCGGCCGATTTCACTTGCCGCGGTTTTGCCTGCAGGGAGGAAAGCCAGAGGCTCTGCTCAGGAAGGGGAGAGGCCAGGCCGGAATCCAAGCGGCTGCGAATCGGACGTTTCGGGTAAAGAAAGCGACTCTTGTCTCCTGCCCCTGCAAGACCTGGAAGCAGGACAGGAGCCCTCGGAGAGAAGACACTGGATTTCTTCACCTCGTGATTCAGAGAGGAAGAGTTTAAGACGACCGACTGAGAAAGGCACCTCCAAGTACACGACTGAGTAAAATCACAGACAGCAAGAAGTGTTGACATCAAGTGTAAACAGGGCCGTGGTTGGGACATAATTACCTAAGCGCAGACTTTTCTGAATACGGGACGTTTCATTAAGAGGAAGGTTGATTCAGATTTTGCAAAAGGTTCACCTTTTATTGCAGAATTGGCTTTTAAAACCTTGGCCCAAGAGGCCATCGGCCGAGTGCAACCCTTACCTTGGAGTTATTGAAGTGGGGCGGACCTGCAGGACTTTGTCCTCCTTCCTGTCTTATACTGAAAGAGAGAGGAAAAAAAAACCAGAGGGATAGTTGAAAAACAAAACTTCTTCAAGATTGTTTTAAAATCCCCCCCCCCCGGGAAACAGCTGCCTGTTCCAGTTAGACCAGAAGGCAAAAAGGAGAGGTTCCCTCCCACCCCAACAAGGAGCAGCCCAGATTTGCACCCATCATCACCATCAAGACGCTCCTAATTCTACCGTAAACTGAAACTTGGAAAGCTGGTTTGTGACTCTGGAAAAGCTACCTTGGGCGAGTCGGAACCGCCGTCGGGAAGCTCGGAACGTAGCTGCTGGGGAGGAAGTCCGGGGAGGAGTATCTGGCAGGCAGAGGGGCGGCCACTGGGTCACTCGGCCCTCGGCCCGGGGGGGTCCTCCCTTCGCCGTCCCCCAGTTTCCTGGGCTTCCTTCCCTTCGAAAGAGCCGCCGGATCCTCCCTCCGGTTGTTAGGAGCGGCCAGCTGGATGCGCCTGGCAGCCGCCTGGGAGTGACTCCCGTGAGCAGGCGGACAAGGCTTCTTCTGCTTGAACTGCTCCAGGTACTGAGACGAGAGCTCACCTGGCGCAGGAGGGAGAGAGGGAAGGCACCTCAGGGACAAGGAAGGGAAGAGAAGCACAGAGGACACCAAATGGCCCTCCCTGCCCACTTCCCCACACAGCCCAGTTTGGAGGAGGGAGACACCCCTTTGCTCAGGACCACCACCCTCTGCGGAAGCTCAGAAGAGTCGCATCTCCTATGCAGAGCCCCCAGTTTGGGGTCCAGCAAGACTCAGCCGGGGGGTACCTTGGTGCCGGATGCGTCTTCTGGGGAGATCCGGAGACTCAGTTCCCACAGAGCTTTCCACAACTGGCGCCTCTGACTGCGCAGGCGTTCTTCCGCTTGGGGGGGCGGTTGCCGGGCGCAAATCACACTGGTCCTGGGTTGAGGGGAAGGGCTGCCAGTCACTGCCCGTTTAAGGAAGCCAGTCACTCCCCTCCCCCAATCACTGAGCCAAGGGGCTTCGTGGCGGTCTGTACCTGGTGGTGGAACAGGATCTCTTCCTCCAGCTGGACTCCACAGAACTCGCAAGGGAGCAGGAGGCTGTCCTGGATGCCAGGCTGGAAAGGGAAGGTCTCTCCGCTGCCCCTCGAACGGCTGCCGGGCAGCTCTCCCCACAGGCTGCTGAGACAGTCTGTCGGCGGGACCAGGTTGCTCCTCTTGCTGAAGGAGGCCAAGGCACTGGCTGGGTTGCAGCCTGTCTGTTATGAGCGGGGCAGAGAAAGAAGCAAAGCGTTCTCTTCAAACTGCCCCAGAGGGCAGAGTTGAACAGAGGGTGATGCTTCCACAGCCCCTCTTCCTGGGTCAGCTTCCCCCCCCCTCTCGGCCCCAGAAGATGAGGCAGCCCACCTGGTGAAGGATCAGGTCTTCCTCGGGGTACAGCTCCTCGCAGAATTCGCAAGGCAGCCGGGTCTCCGCTGAAGGATAAGAGAGAGACAGTTGCACAACTCACAACTAGGTTACAAACCATCGAGCCTCCCATCTCCCCCTTCAAAATTCTCCTCGGCCACATTCCCCAGGTGCTCACACAGACGACTCCTCTGCCAAATATAGGGAACCACCCGGTGTTACTTGCTTAGGTTTACGCTGCTCTTCAGTAAAAAAAAAAAAAAAACAACCCACCATCACCCCAGAGCAACTTAAGAGTGGGCCAGGGTCCCCGGGGCTCTCCCTATAGCACGTCCATTCCTGTCCCTCGATAAGCAACAACGTACTTTTGGGCCTGTCCAGAATGTCGGCTGCCAGCAGCGAATCCTGAGAGAGGCCACTGGAGTTCTTTGCTTGGCTACTGTGGTCAGCTGGGCCGGTCTGGGGGGGACAGATGTTCTTCCAGAGTTCTCTGTGGGCCTCTGCCACATTGGGCTGAGCCAAGCTATTCTCGTGCTGCAAGCTGAGCGCCAGCAGGTAATCGAAGTTGTAGTCCGACTCTCCATCCGCAGGCAGCGGGGTGGCTCTCTTCTCCAAAGGGGCTTCAGGGAACAAACAGCGAAGAAGAGCATGAAGAGCAAACCTGCAACACTTCATCACCCCAGTGCTGCTGTGCAGCAACACAAACACAAAGATGCAGAGTTGCTTCCAAAGCCTCCGGAGAGAGAGAATCCCCACACTCTTAATTCAAGAGGTGTATATTCAGAAGAGTGGCATTTTTCTGAGCCCTTGAGGAGAAAAAGGGCAGTTTTCTTTCAAGGCCTTTACCTCGATTCTGATCTGGCCGGGATAGGCCTCGGTTTCTCCAACTGGATTCCCTGGGCAGCTGATCGCCCGAGACCCAACTGTGCAGCTGCCTCTCCAGGAACCTGTTGCCCCTCAGTGGCGACTCTCCAGCGGAATCTGACCCCAGGAGGTAGTCGCTGATGGTCTGAATGTTTCGCAAAGGGGCCTCGGAGTTGAAGCAAGGCTGCGCCTGGACGCCTGGCTGTCCCCCGGCCTTCTTCCAACAGTCGACGGGATGCGTTTTCAGTTCTCGCAGCATTATGTTGCGGTTGCATCTGCCGCATCGCTCGGTCCGGGCACCGCAATAATCTTCGTGCTCCTGGAGCTTGCAGAAAGCGAGCTCAATGTCACAGTGCTGACATGCAACAGGCCGCAAGGGACACTCCAAAGCCTGCGAGGAGAAGGCAGAAATGGCTCGTCACCCGAACGTATGTGGTGAGTGCAATATTTTATGCACCGTTTCAGGAATATATTCCAGCACTTTACAGTGATTTTATTTTTTTGCCCCTCAAAATATTTCACTGGAGAAAATCGGGCAATGATTAGCTTACTCACTACATGATCCTGTAAGAGACCCCTGTCCATTCTCATGCTGCATTGACAGATAATCTAGGATTCGAAAGAAAGACAGATCAGACTCAAGTCTGCAGAACGAGGTCTGTCTCAGCTAGAGAAGGCGCCAGGGCCCAGCGGAAGAGGCAGCCGGGCTTTGTCACCTGTGCGTGGTCTTGCTCCCGATGAGTCCTCATTTCCGCCTTCGGGAAGGACTCCTTGCAGATGGGGCAGATCCCGATATTCCGGCTACAGTGGATCTCATGGATGGTGTAGTTTGCCAGAGGGATGTCTTTTTGGCTGTAAGAGGCACACACACGGATGCCAAACCTCTTCGTTTTTTAAAGGGTACTGGGACAAGCAGAAACTCTTGCAAAACCTTTGTTGCCCTTTTTTTAACCCAACTCCCTTCCGCTATCCAAAAACGCGCATACACACACACACACACACACAAACCTGACAAGAGAACGAAAGCGTTCCGGCCCTTACCAATTGTTGCACAGTTGAGTTTCGCTTTCTTTTCCTGCCATCGCAGCCATCTCTCTCCCTGCTCTTCCGGGAACCTTTAAAAAAAATGGTGTGTTTTCTTGACGTTTCGTAGAAGGGCTTACTCATTCTGGCCCTGCTCGGAGGTTCTCCTTCACCCGCAACTTCCCCGCCCTCGCCAGCGGGCTCCCTCCCTCCCTTCCGGCTCCCGGGGCCCAGGCCCAGACACGGGGGCAGCCCAGGGGCGCCGCCCAGCGCAAGACCGCCGCTCTTTCCTGCCCCCCCCGCTACGGACTTCAGCCCGTTGTCCGGCCGGTTCTGGAACCCCGCCGGGCGCTCTTGGCCCGAACGCGGCCGGTCCTCGCTGCGCCCCCCCCCCGCCGCCCCTCGGCCAAGGAAGGGGTGCCGTCCTGCCCCTCCCTCGGCGCCTCTTCAGGATCGGCGCATCTTCTCTGCCTGGAAATCCCGGCTCTCCTTACCCAAAGCGGGATCCCTTCGCGGAGATCTTGCCGGCTTCGGCCTCCCTCCGCTCCACGGACCTGCAGAGCGAGAACGAGGCTTTGGCGCCCTTCGTCTGCCCGACTTTCCGGCCAGGATCGCCGGTTGTTGGAAAGCCGGGATCGCCCCCCTCCCGCCCCCCCCCAACGCGCCTCCCTCCGCCGGGGCCGCTTCCGGAAGGCGCAGCGCTCCGCGAGGCAGGCGGGCGGGCGGGCGGGCGGGCTCAAGCCAGGCCGGGGCTCCTCTGCGGGTCCCTGGCCGGCCTCCCGGACGGATGGAGGGAGGGAGCCGGGAAGGGGGGGGCTGCCGCGCCTGGCCTGCCCCGCAGGGCTGTTGTGAAGAGGGAAGCCCTTCGCCCCCCTCAACCCGCGGAGGGTCTCCACTCCCCCCCCCGCTCCCGAACGCAGAGGGGTGGGAAAGCCCCCCCCAGCTCCGGGGATCCCCTCCCCCCCGCCCGCCCGCCAGCCAGCCGCTCACCAGCCCGCCGCCCGCGCCTCCCTCTCCTCTGCCAGCCGCAACTGGACCCGGCGCCGCCTCGGCCCCGCCGAGCCC